CTTCTCTGACCAGTCATCCTCCTCTGTAAAGGGGAGAGATGGGGGGAGGGGTTGTTCTGGCCGTGCCGTGTTTGCCAGTTTATTTTTATTTATTCACTATTATATTCTCATGATCAGCCTCTTATGGTGAATGTTTTATCATTAATAATACAAAATTTTAAATATAGAAAAATTTATATATAATTTGTAATTTGACATAAAAATTAAATGACAAGGCGAATCAGAAGGTAATCTCTGCCTCAGACCCCTATCGTCTCCCAGAGTTTCCCACACCTCCACTATTTGGTGAGTACGTACATCATTGCATAATTAACCTCCTAGGCTTTCTTAAAATATTTATTTAATAATGTAGATGCAGTTTATGCGACATAATATGTAATTTTGAGAGGTTAAGTTGGTTACCCCAAGTCATTCTAGAGTAAAGGTTTGACGAGTCCAGTACAATACAGCATAGCGATTTTAACACAAGTTAAAGAACATCGCTTGCTGGATTTCCATGTGGACGTGTACCAGTATGATATACCTGTGCAAAATGAGACACCACTGTACATACCAAATAATTTAAATACTGTAAATAAAATACAGTAATGTAAAAACATGAGATTTTGGTTACAGATTTTTGGGATGAATATACTGTTTTGGGGTCCTGTTCATAAGTGTAAGTGTTCCAAACTCAGAGATTGCCTGTAAACACAAAACACTAAAAAATAAAAGGAAATTCAAAGAAAGAGTTCCAGCAGGTAACATAGATAGGGTTGAATATTATAGAATACAGTACAGTAAAGTCATGGCTCAGTGCTGGTTGATGGTTCAACATTACATTTTGAAGATTTATCGGTTGCTTGTCAGTAACATTAGATTTTTCTCTGCTGCTTTCTTGAAAAGAATAGTGTGGTAGTTAATATTTTGTATAGAGATAAAAACAAATAAAAGCATACAGTGAATAAATAATAATGTATTGTACTGTTTCACTATCTATTTCACAAAACATTTACTGTCACATATACTATTCTTACAAAGAAAGCAGCAGAGAAAAGTGGTAATGTTACTGACAAGCAACCAATAAATCTTCAAAATGCTGTGTCTGAACCATCAACCATGATGGTACCAAACTGCAGGATCATATGCAACAACCTTACATTTTTTATTTAATATAACCATTATTAATTTCAAAGGCAATAAGAAAGCAATAATAGTAATAAAATAAAAATAAAAATAATAATAATGTAATAATTATATTAATAGAAATAAATACAGTATAGTCTGCATTTACGCGGATTTTGTTTACGCGTTTGGTCATTTATTCGGTTTCTTGCCAGAATGTAAAGGCTTTAATTACGCGGTAAATTTGGTCATTTACGCGGAGAGCAGCTGGAGGTCCAGACGCTCCACGCCATTTTTATTCTAGCGGTCCATTCTCGACCATACACGGGAAGCAGCGCGGATATGGATGCGCAGTATGTTGCTGTTGCGTTATCGCTGACGTCATATGGCGTGACGACTGTGATTGGCCACGATTCCATACCATCCACGATTCCTCCGCCGCTTAGCTGTGATCGGCGCTAACTGTGATAGGTCTAATGTTATGGCGTGCCCATACGGGAGGGAAGCTTCTGACCCCAGCAGGTGTCAGTCTCATTATTCAGTCACCGTGTATACTGTACTCTCTTGTGCTCACTAATCTGTTCAACAATAGCATCCGCTGGACCCACACCCCCCAGAAAAAACCTTGATTTACCTAGACCCAGCACGCCCCCAAACCCAAGAAGATACGGCGAGCTCTAAGTTATGAAGTTAAGTACAAAATCGTGCAAGATTTAGAGAGGGGCCAGAGACAAGTTGATTTGGCGTGCCAGCATAAGCGTGAACAAATCTACGATCGGGCGATCAAAAAAGGATGCCATATAAAAAGAACACATAGGCATCACAAAGTCTGCAGGTGCTTCAATGGTCTGAAGTACTGTCAGAATAGGTGCTGCTCAAGACTGAGAACTTACTGGTGAGCTACTTAATTCATCAGGCAAGACAGAACATGGCGGTCGACCGCGCGGGACTATGCGTGATCTGCGCATCAGTGTGGTGCGCCAAGATGGGAATTACCGCCGAAACCTTCACCGCTTCCTCTGGGTAGCTGCAAGGAGGTTTAAAAAAGTCGTTACCAACATTGACATTGTTGGTATTAAATGAGCGATGATGCTGACGAGTGCTGCCGCCGTGGATTTTCCTCCATTCTTCCGAAGTTATGGAGGAAGGACAGTACCTACGGCGACCAGGTGTTCAACATGGATGAATCCAGTCTGTTTTGGAAAAAATTACCTTCCAAGACATACCGTTGTCCAGTCTGCCAACCAGGTGTCGGGCGGAAGTTGCAGAATACCGTCTGTTTACCCGCAATGCCTCCGATGCTACCGCCAAAGCTCAAGGTTGACCGTTGATGCACACAGCCGCAAGCTGCCGCCTACAAGAACGCAGCCAAGCTAAATGTCCACTGGCTAACCTCACGTAAAGCGTGGATGTTCACTGGTCTGTCCCCTCTCCTGGTTTGGCGACTGTTTAGGTTCGGCGTCAAAATTCTCTTGGCGCCAAAATAATATGCCATTCAACATTTTGTTGCTGTGACAACGCACCAGGACACTCGCCCTGTTGGCTCGTCACCCCCAATGTAAAAGTGGTCTTCAGCACTCCCAACACTAAATGCGTTAATCAGCCCATGGACCAGGAGTGTATATACAGCGTTAGGCTGCATTCTCTTTCTGCAAAAGTTTAAAGCTCTTGAGCGACTGTACAGCACCAAGGATGAGTGCGTAACGCTTCTGAGTGGCACGAATAAGCGAGCGGCGACAACGAGATGCAGAACAAGAGTTGGCCCGGGCATGAATCTGGTTAAGCAGTTTTGAAACTGTTTAGCGTAAAAAAGCTGTTGATTTCTTGGTGGAGGCATGGGGGGCAGCTGTCTGTAGCCTTGATTAGATCCTGGCGTGGCGGCATGTGTTAAAGGTATCCCAGGTGGAGGCTGAATTAACCTCTGGCTGGTGAGTTCAGTCTGTTGCAGTGGCAGTGGACCTTGCAAGAGAAGCTGAACAGAGTGTTACAGCTGCAGGCTTCTCGAGACCACCGGCGGCGACATCATGGAGGTTATCAGGGGATCCTGAGGTAACTGCCAGATGTTGGAAGGCGATGGCACGTCAGTGTGAGGGAGGCAGGTAATTGTGGCAGCAAAGAGGCAAGTTAACTCATAGTGATTAAAGGATGCCATCGAGTTTGCGAGAAACTAAAGCTCACCTTTTCAAAAGACCATGTCAATCACCGGTATGAAGTCTTCAATAACCTTCTAGATCAAAGTATGGGCAGTACATCCAGATGTATCCGACCACATCAACCTCAGCACAATAAAGCGTAGCATCACTGACTATTAGCCGCAGCCACCACAGCCAGCCCCAAGCCAGTGATAGTGACAGTGATGGTGACTTTTGAGGGTTTGTCAGGGAGGCCCTGAGAACCATAATTGGATAGTGATGGTGATTCACCTGAGGGGCCAGTAATCTGCCCTCTGCCTTGGAACCAGCCCCATCTAGTATGCACGACCCATCTCTTCTACTAATGTGAGTGTTAACCTTGATTTTCTTTTACCTGGTACGATATATTATTCTCTCTTATTGATATTTCTCTTCTATATTATGTGTGTGTGCATACCATCATAAAATTAAGATACTATTTTATTACATTACTATGTACGTATTGTGTAGGAAAAAGTGGAGTTTGGGAGTCGGATCTCTATTTCAATTAATCCCATATGTTCTGTTATTTCATTTCTGGCGTTTCTCGTTTTACGCGGTTCTCCACGGGTTCAATTGACCGTGTAAATGCAGACTATACTGTATACATAAAGATAATCAAGGTATTAGGTTATTTATACAATCGGACAATAATTATTTATGAACTCTCTTACTTTTTACAAATGTCTCTACACACAGAAGCTGCAGGGAGTCAGACATAAATAAACAGTGTGAACTTGATCTATTTAGGCAACTCTCGACTTATAAAAAACACTATTAAATTAATTTTTCTATTTAAAGTAACATACAATTATGTGTTCTTTATTTTGTTACTTAAGAAGTAAAACAGATGTTCAACTCAGTTCATGTGAGTGTCTGTGGAAGCAAAACTTGACAAAGTCTACTGGTAGTTCTTTGGGTGATATGAATGACCTAGGACCCAGGAAACCTAAAAATCCTCAAAACCAGTTTGCTGTTGATCCTAAGGGTCCCGGATTTTAAGGCTTATACCTACAGTATACAGTTCATTTGGCTTTTCACATCAGCCTTTATTTATTACACCTAGTCTTTGGTCTCTTCCTATGTCACAATAACTTAGCTATTTGTCAAAATACCATTGTTTTTCTCGATACAGTAACTGTATTAAACCACAACAGTTAATCTATCCATATCTGGTGATCCACTTCTGAGAATTTAAGTCATTAGTTTAGCAATCATTTATGCCAATTTTCTCAAATAAATGCCCCTCATCTTCATATAATGGATAATCGAAAATAATACATGCGACAACAATTTGTTTATGCTGCTTGACAACTTAGCCATATGGAAAATGAGATCTCCATTATATTTAAATACTATAAAAATTTAAATATTCAGCACATTTCACAAATAGGGTCAACTGAACATTTACAACTAAAAATCTCAATAAATAATATAAAACAAAACAGTTTGTGAAACAGACTATAGTTGCAACTATGAAACTAGATCTCTGCTGCAATTTTATATGGAGACACATTTTGTATTGCATTATGCTACAAAGATCTGCTTGGCCATGGCATGCTCACTCAAACAAAGTATACTGTACATCAATAAATATTAATGCCCATTTAAGCAACCATACCCTTTTATTGACATTATAAAATTGAGGACAGAACACAAAGAAAGTAACACTGCATAATCCGATACCAATGTCACATCTCTTGCATTCAACATAATATTGTGGTTAAAAAAAAAATATATATATTATTATACCTTTTGTTGAAGGTTCAACCATTATTCAAGAATGAGGCAGAACATGCAGACTGTTACTTTCTCTGTGTTCAAACCTATGCACCGGGCACACATGCCTACAACTTCTCTTTAAATATATCTAACATTTTCCTCTTAAGAAAAATGTGTTTTGTAAAATATTTGGCAGATGTAGTCAATATGTTGCTGCTGTAAGAAACACTATAAACCTACTGTACATACACTACATTTTTTATTACATTTTATGCACAAGACTTAATTATTTTTTTAACAAAAGTTTAAATTATTAACAACTTCTACCATGGTGGAAAAAATCTTAAGATGTAAATAACTAGACACAGCACCCCTATCTAATGACTCAATGTTAACATATGCTTGCTCTCATAAATTCAAATTTTTGTTTTCTTTTTTCAAATAATGTCTTTTTCCTAGGAACTTCTACCTTTATTTAAATTGAGCCTAACAGAATGCACAAGTAATATTAATGAAAGTGCGAAGTGACTTTATATTTATATAAAAATAAATAAATAAGTTGTGTTAAAAAAATCTTTCTGAATCACAAACTCTGTCTCATGTGTTACATTAGAATAATCCCCAAATCTGAGTTATAGCTGACAAGAAACATAATGATGAACAACTTCACATTCTAATATTAAATATATTTAAGTTATTTTATGGTTCACTCATCTACTAACAGTTCACTTTGCATCAACATAATAATTCCAAATACAGGCACATTTTGACAATAACCAAGATGCTCGATAATCAATGTGATCTTAGGAAGTAAAGGCATTTATAAGGTTTGCTCATAAGTTCCATGATATTAGTCCTTTATAAGTTTTCATATTTATTGCATAGTTCTAAATTTACAGTCACATTAACCTGCCATAAAATACACCTGTAATACTCAAAATAAGTATGACAAACTTGAAGGACATTTTTGTTTTATATATATTTTATAACAAAGTCACTGGTTGGGCCGAGATGGATGCTGTCCTTGATTTTGTGGGTGGTACTGTCTTGGGTCAGGTGGAGGCATCATGTAAGATGTTGCTGGAAATATTGAGTGTGGGTATGGAATCAAGTTAGTCATAGCCATCTGTGGAGTCGGCATCATATTTGGAGAAATTGATGGTGGTTGTGAATGTGGTGGGGCTGAAGAGTTCTCTCTCTGTTGATCTGTGTTTGAATGCATTGGCAGAGAATGAGGTGACTTATGAGTTGAACTGTTATTGGATGCACTTTGAAGAGGGAAGGAGCGGTGTTCGTGTCGAACTTGCTCCCCATTCCCCTGATATCCACCTTGTTCAGAGTTGCTGCCTACACTTTCTCTATGGTCCTGTCCGTGAGATCTATCTTGATTTATTACATCTTGCCCCATCCCTCTCTCCTGACCTATTCTGTTTTGTCCCATACCGTCTTGTCCCAGTCCTCTATTTTCCCCCATTTCTCTATCCTGATCTACCCTTTCTTGTCCTATTCTCCTGTCAGACCCATCATGTTCACGGCCTTGATTGCCTAATCTTACATCATCATTCTGTTCCTCTTTAATCATCCGTTTAGCTTGCTGAAGAACAATTCTTGGATCAGTCACATCCTTATGGCACTGCATATGAGAAATGAGTGTTGCCATCTCTCTAAAATGTTTTCTACAAGATGGGTGTGGACAGGCATATGGTTTCTCACCCAAGTGTGTTCTGAAATGTTGATCAAGAATTGCTTTCTGTCTGAACTGTTTTCCACACTCCATACATACATAAGGTTTCTCTCCTGTATGAATCCTCAAGTGCTGATTCAGTATTGTTCTCTGTCTAAACGATTTGTCACAAAAAGCACAATCGTAAGGTTTATCTCCTGTATGGATTCGAATATGCTGCTGCAAGTGAGTTGGCTGACGGAAAAGTTTGCCACAATCTGGACACACATAGGGTCGATCAGTACTGTGTGTTCTTTCATGTTGCATTAGTCCTCCTTTAAGTTTGAACCCCTTTTTACATATATTACACTTAAAAGGTTTATTCTCCTCATCATCTGGGTCATCTACAGACACTGGATGCATTGGAGGATGAGTCACAGGAATCATTGTTGGCAATCCCTGAAAATATTTGTTTACAAATTAACTGGACTTAATGGGACACATACAAAAAAAAAAGGGTATTGCAAAACATGGGTAACATTGGCAGTTAGATTCAGGTTCTTTATATACATTATGATTAATGAAAATAAAATGCATAACACTATACAGGAGTTTAAAAATTCCCCACCGTAGAATGAGTCCAATTTTTCCGAGGTCTTCCTCTACCTTGGTACGAGAACATAACTGGACTAGCTAACTGTTCTGGTGCTGGATATTTTCCTGGTGACCTGAAAGTATTGCATGCTCAAAAATCTCTTTATCTACACATGTAACATAATTTAATTAATAATTTTCTTCTTTTTCTTGGTTGATATACAGTTATTAGAATGTTAAAACAAAATTCTCATACTAAAATACTCGGAAGTTAAATAGAAATTTAATTAATCATGAAGTTTTATATGAAACAAAGCCATACCTTCTAACATACTTTCTAGGGGATTTGAGATCGAGAGAGCTGGGTCCTGCCAGAGCCAGTAGCATTTCAGGAGGTGGAGAGTCACCCATACTAGTATTTTCTGTCTTGAGTCCATCTCCCAAGTCAGGACGTTTTGGTGGAGGTGTATATGGCCGCTTAAAGCCCTGGGGCTCATACTGATCACCAATAGAAATTGAAGATGCTGACGATGGAGCAGATGTGGGCACTGAAGTGGGAGATGACGAAGAACCAGTGGAAGGGACAGTAGATGACTTGGGTGTATTGTTAGACTGTGTAACAGAAACACTTGCAGGTGAAATACTTTTTACAACTGGAGAGAGATTCTGATACACTGATCCAGAGGTGTTTGGCTGAGTTGTACTATGTGAAGTGTGAGGTGAATGTGGAGATGTGGTAGTAGTGTGTGGGGAGAGCATATGAGGAGGATAATGTCCTCCCCCTGATGTTGGTGCCCATGGAGGCAGGTAGCTCATGTTGGCACCAGGGCCTGCAAACACAAATGACAAACATTAATGGAGTTCAGTCAATCACTTTAAATACTGTACAGTAGATAGTTTCCATATTTTTTCAAGGCATGATTAAATTTTATAATAAAAAGTAAACACCAATATTCTACAGTACAGGTAAACCTCGATAAATGGTGTCTCATTCAACGATATTCCGCTTTAACAATGGTCATGAATTAAGACCATCTCGCTGTATACAAAAAAAATATAGGTATACTACTTTAACGATACCCATTTACTCGGTTAACGAACACAATTCGTTCCACAGAGTCTTTCATTCACCGAATCCATTATTTCAATGGGATATTGGGTAATTGGTTCTAGTTCACAGAAAAGTACATACAAAGTAAAGCCAAAAAATGCATAAAATCAGAAACACTCCTAAAATTCCCCTAAATCGCCCTTATATATATATATATATATATATATATATATATATATATATATATATATATATATATATATATATATATATATATATATATATATATATATATATATATATATATATATATACACACACACACCTAGACCCCGACTTACGACCGTCGGGACTTACGACCGCCGCAGAATTTTTTTTTTCTTTCAAAATGACACACGCATTTTCTATACCAAAAAGTTTCCAGTTAATGTAGTCTCCATGTATAATTAGAAAATTATGGGGGCCCCATGTGCATTCAGCTGAGTACATTAAAGGTTAAGTGCTCAGTCACACTGTATCCATTCCTTATTATTTATTACTTTCACTGTACTGTATCCATTCATCATTATTCATTACTTTTACTGTACTGTATTTCATTGTAGATTTTTTTTTATCTATGTCGGACTTACGACCTGGATTTGGGTCCCTAACACCGTCGTAAGTCGGGGTCTAGGTGTAGTTGATTGTGTGGAATCCTTTATCTTGTCCTTGAATTAATCTTTACCTTATTTTTATAACTACTGTGAATATATATATATACAGTACTGTATATATATATATATATATATATATATATATATATATATATATATATATATATATATATATATATATATATATATATATATATATATATATATATATATATATATTTCATGTAAATCCACAATGACAACGTGGATAAGTTAATCTTGATAAAATCACACGGGAAGATGGAAACAACGGAGTACCTTAGCTTTCGTCTTTATTCAAGACATCTTCAGAGGCAACTGGATTACATGGACAGAGAGAGGCTTAAATATACAGGGTGACCTAAAAACATGAGGTCAGGTCAAAATGATGACATCCACTAATCCCCACACCAACACACACGTAGAGGAGCTTAAGAGAAGGGTGGTGACGTGACTAGCCAAGTCAGGTCAGAAAAAAGGGATCCACAAAATAACTATCATACATCTAGATCAAAGGTTTTCAAAGCATTTTTAACCTTGGGCCACTGACAAATAAATTTATGTAACATATTATCAGTTTTGAACTGACCATCACTAAGGTTTATTGATTTTAATTCCTTAATCAAACTAGCTTCAACCAGAAGTCTTTCTGTGACACAAGATGATTTAAATACTTCTAAGCTTTTTTCCCAAGCAATGGGGTGATTATTATTCCTACATGAACGAACAAGGCACTGCTTTCAGATGCTGTTCTGATATTATACTTATGTTGTTTGATTCTGAGCTGCAGTGTTTTTCCTGTCTGTCCTACATAATTACAATTACATTTGCTACATGGAATACAATAAACACTTCCATTTACATTCAAACTTGGGCTATTTCTTATTAACATATTGGTAATGGTTGAGTCATACTTGAAAACAACATTAATATTTAGAAGCTTGAGGGACCGAACTAACGGGACAAATTCATTACGATAGGGCAGAGTCAAAATATTCTTAAGTGTAGGAACTTGTCTGGTTTGAGAGGAATGAAAGGATTTTTTAGCCCTTTTAAAACAACGATCAACAAACACAGAAGGGTACCCAAGTTTATGTGCAATAGAACGAATGTGTTTCAATTCATCGTCAATAAATTCAGAGTCACAAATACGCAGACATCTTAAGAACATAACAGAAAAAACTGACATTTTGGTAGACTCAAGGTGATTCGATAAAAAGTGAATGAAACTGTCTACCTGTGTGGGCTTTCTATATACCTTAAATTTATAGTTTTGGCCATTTCTCATGATAAGCATATCAAGAAATGGAAGGGATTCATTTATTTCTCTTTCAATTTTGAATGTGATACTAGGGACAATATTATTAAGCTTGTCTAAAAATTCCAATGGGTCACTGTTTTTAGGCCAAAGACAAAGAACATCATCTACATATCTATACCATGGAGGAATAAAGTCCACTATATTGGGTAGTAATCTAGACTCAAAAAACTCCATATAAATACAGGCTAGAGGAGCAGAAAGACAATTACCAATGCTCATACCAAATATTTGCTTGTAGAACTTCCCATTTGCTCTAAACACATTGTCAGTTACGCATAACTCTATCAATTTCAGGAAAGTATCATGTTCAATAGTTAAATCTAGCAGTTGTAATTTATCTTTAAGAAATGAAAGTAAGTCTTTCACAGGTACTCCAGTGAACAGTGAATTTACATCAAAACTTATTAATTCGCAAGGTTCGTTGTGTTTCTTGAGTTTATCAATTAAATCACTGCTATTGCGTATATGTGAATTAGATATTTGGCCTGTAACAGGGGATATCATCTTTACCAGCCACTTGGATAATTTGTAAGTAACAGAACCCACAGAACTCACGATAGGACGTAAAGGATTATTAAGCTTGTGTGTTTTGATCAATCCATACATATAAGGTAAAGTGGGATTGATTTGAGAGAGCTGTTTAGTGAGATCGGGGTTCTTTTTCAATAACATCTTCATTTTGGAATTAGATAACTTATTAATATTTTCCAGGGGATCTTTCGTAAGCTCACAATATGTGCTTTCATCACTAAGTAATGAATTCATCTTATCATTGTAGTCACTTTTATCCAAGATAACAATAGCATTAGACTTATCAGCCTTGGTAATATGGATATTCTTATTTCTTTTCAAGTTTATCAAGGCTGTTTCAAATCTTTTTGGAATGTTTGAAGCAAATTTCTTATTTAAAACACTATGTATACAACCTTTAGCTATGGAAATATCTTCATTTGTAACATCAGACGACTTCTTCTTTTCCAGGTTGATTAAACCTTTAGCAATAGTAAGCGGATTAACGCACCGTTGAGTGATAGAAAACTTCCTACCAAAACCAAGAACAAGTTTCTCATTTGTCTGTAGATCATAAGATGATAAGTTTATGAACAAATTTGGATCACTCAATATGGTCCAGTAACTCTCGTCAAACAGAGCATTTAATTTGGCATTTAACCTTCTTTTTTGGGCTTTGTCAGTTTCACTAAGAAGTTGATATACAACATCACGAATGGTGTGCCACTTATCAACACAAACACTGTTTTGCATAAGTATTTTACACTGAGCACTGTGCTTGAAGGCTAATTTCACACTATCACTTGAACTCTTGATAAGGGAATCAAGCAACACCTTATCCAACTCAGAGAATGCTTGATTGTCCAGATTTCTTAGTCTACTTGGAAGACAGGACTTGGGAAAAATTTTATCATCTCTGCAATCTTTCAAAAACTTCAACTTGTTTTTGAGGCTATGAGCCTTCAGCAAACTCTTCTTGTAGTTGCGGTAGATGGGGCGAAGATGAGGATGTTGTTGACAGATTAAGGACACAGCGTGGAACTTACACGTCTCTCTTTACAGTCAACCCTCACTTTAAGCGGTCCCACATTCCACGTTTCCACATTTACGCGGTACCTGCCAGAACCCAGGATGCTCACATTCCGCAGTGCGTGTACCCCTTTACGCGGGTGAAGTATAATTTTTTTATTTAGCTCATAAAATTCATACAAATTATCCGGCCAGAATATAATTTACATTGCTGCAATTCTTACAATTTGATGATCATTTTGAATATAAGCATCATAGATTTTGCATTAGACATACAAATTTTAGATCTAATGCAAGTATTTTGTTTACTCAGAGCAAATATGCTATCTTTTGTGCAAAATATATGATATTTATATTCAAAATATTCCTGGTCTTACAAGGAATCCAGCAATGTCAATTATATTATCCTAACTTTAGTTTGAGGTATTATTTATTACTAAACCTTAAAATCTAGTGGTTTTCCCCCAAAAATTTCTCAGAGAGGGAAGAGCCAGCGAGTGTAGTGTGAGAAGAGGGGGAGGGAGTTGAGTCCATTATTTAAATGGACATTAACTTGGCGACTGTATTTCTCTATTTCTCTTAAGTATTAATTGTGTGCATGTACCATCATAAAATTAAGATGTTATTTTTACTAGAACATAGGTATTGTGTCGGAAAAAGTAGAGTTTGGGGGTCAGGCCAGTCTCTATTGGAATTAATCCCATATGTTCTGTTGTTCCATTTACGCGGATTTCACTTAACGCGGTACCCTGTGGGTTCAATTGACCGCGTAAATCGGGGTACTACTGTATTGTTTACGATCTTTGTCCCAATTATTCACGTGCTGATATGAATACCATGACTATCTCTCTCCCTACTCTTATGTTCGTTCACAAAAACATTTGGGCTTCCGCCCTTGGGTTTCTATTTGTTCTCAGCAAACATGCCAGAGTTGAGTTTGTCTCTTCATAACTTTATTTTTTGATGTCCTCAGTAGCGGGTTCAGCCTTTCCAGGCGAACTTTAGCGAGGCTGCTAGACTTAGCGTTCCTTCCGGAATGTTGACCTTCCGGTCTTCCTAGCAATCTAGAGTTACAGTGAGTTCTGCTATAACGCGTGTTTTGACAATGCGAATTGGCTCTAACGCGATTTATGAATAGAGGAACGATATTTGTAAAACGCGAACGCTTGTTTGCTGTAACGCGATTTTTGCTTCCTATTTCTCCAATTTTGTGGTATTAATTGTGAATATGGTAAAGAAGAATATCTCCAAGCAGCGTTCTGGTGATCGCATTCCCGGTGA